GGGGCGCAGTACAGTGAAGAAGGCTGTGATTTATTCTTACCACTTTTCACAAGAGGTAATTTCAGAGCCGCAGGTTTTCCTTTTTCCTCTCTTTCTAAATGGATTTGAGCAAAGTATAGTAGTTTCACATAAATGCATGATTGGACATTTGTGATTTGACTCATGCTCTGGCCAAGTTTAGGTTCTTTTAAAGTCAAATGCCTAACACGTCATCTTTCACCATGAATAATAAATCATGAGTGACTCAAATTCTTTTACCAAATATATTTAAACTTGAGCAATAAAAGAACAAATGAAGAGCATTTACACTGAGGTAGACGATGTGATTGAAAGCTATGATGTTGGCCAAATTCCCAAATTTCTTCTTTTTTTTTTTTTGTCGGTCGTGGGACTTGAACTCTGGGCCTGGGCGCTGTCCCTCAGCTCTTCAGCTCAAGGCGAGTGCTCTACCACTTGAGCTACAGCACCACTTCCGGTGGTTTATTGGAGCTAGGAGTCTCATGGTCTCTCCTGCCCGGGCTGGCTTTGAACCGAGATCCTCAGATCTCAGCCTCCTGAGTAGCTAGGATTACAGGTGTGAGTCACCAGCGCCCGGCTCAAATTCCCAAATTTCTATATCCAGAATTTCCTTCTTTAAGATAAGGATAAGAGTGATACGTACCTTTGGGAGACATGTAAGCTGAGAGTGCACTAAGACCTGTAACTGCTTAAAAAAGTGCTTCCCCATCCTTTCTTATTATTTTCCTTTCAAATGTGTCAAACATTTATTGGGGAGCCTATTTCATGGACATTTAAGTACAAGTCTATAATATTAAACAAAACACATGGAAGGTTTTTTTAATAGTTATAATGATTATTATTATTATTTGTGTGAGATGTTTCATAAATTAACCAGTTACATTATTATTACACAGACCACCAAATCAATATGAGATATATCAAAAACTAGCCTCTTTATGCCAGTAATGACATGATCTATGTTTATTGAGCTTCTTGTCCCCAGTGGCTTAGCACAGAACTTAGCACAAAACAGCAGCCTAATAAATGTTGATGGAATGAAGGCTGGGCTCATGAGACCCGGCTACGTAGGATAACAAGCTTTGATTTGAAACTGTACCACACACACTTCAGTTCCAGTTTTAACCTTATACACCATGACATTGAAAAGTGTCCTGGAAACTTTCTATTTTGAAATTAAGACTGCTATGTTTTAAAACAACTAAGGCCAAGTTTAACTATGATTATGCAAAGTAACCCAAACCACACACTATTTCTTATCTAGTTCTACTTGTCAATATGAGAAGAGTTTGGAAAATCTGAAGTGTTAGATGACAAAACAAAATACAGGAGAGCTTCCTTACACCTTGCATTTAATTTTCCTTTTTTTTTTGTCAGTCAAGGGTCCTGAACTCAGGGCCTGGGTACTGTCCCTTAGCTCTTCAATTTAAGGTTAGTGCTTTGCCACCTGAGCCACAGTACCACTTACAGCCTTTTCTGTTTATGTGGTGCTGAGGAATCGAACTCGGGACCTCATGCATGCGAGGCAAACACTCTACCACTGAGCCACCTTCCCAGCCTCAGTTTTCCTTATTTTTAACGTTTCACATGACCACAGTTCATCTGTCAAGACTCATGAATCAATACTGACGAATTGTTAGCAAAATCCTCTTCTTCATTTACATTTCTTATGTTTCTGACAAATTTCCTTCTATCACCACAGGAGCCCATCCAAAATCCTACATTGCAGCTAGATGTTAAACCTGCATAGGCTCTCCCACACAGAGACAGTTTTTTTTTAGACGTTCCTTGTTCTGAAGGCATTGGCAGTGTTGAGGGTACTTGCCAGGAATTGGGAGGAGTGACCTTAACTTGAGGTTTCTTTTGTGCTTTCTACGACTGGTCAGGTATTATGATTTGAAGAAGAAAGACCACACAAGGAATCCTTATCATATTACCTGATGCTGCCAGGTACATCCATTGATCCTTCTATTTTAATGAGTAAATAAGAATGATTTACAGTAATTGTATAATTAGTGATTTAATGTAACCACATTAAGGAAAGCCTCTTTGCCCTTTTGCAAATTTCTATGTCATTTTGCGTGCAGTGTATAAAATAGTTGATTCTCTTGGGATAGGCATATGCTAAAATGTGTTTACCTTAACTCCTTGACTTGAAAAGAAGGACCTTTCATCACAGATAAAACGCTGATAAGTGAAAGTCCACATCCTGTTACAAGTTAATTCAAATCCTACCTTTAAAGAATCATTATCCACGGATTCAAGTTAAAATAAAAAAGTATATAACTTTATATTCTTTCAAGTTCATTCCAATCTCAGAAAATAATATGTATGCTCAACTATGTGGTCAAAATAGGACAAGAAATAGAAGTAGAAGAAGTTAAGCCTTTGAATATTAATTCTCCTAAGCCTGTTTCAAGTAAGGAACTTGCCTAAAGAGATGTTAATTCTTTACTAAGTCCTATGCATAAATAATCTGGTGTCTCTAGTCTTAGTGATTTTGGTGTAAATGTATACTCTCCTGTGGGATTAGAAGATATACCAATGTAGCTATTACAAGGATTGGAAACACCATTTTTTTTTTACTCTTGTTTCCCAATTTCAATGTAGAGAAGTTATTGTGGGATTAATATGATCTATGTCATGGACCATTTTCAGATCAAGACATAAAAGAAATATGTCAGTCCAGAGAAGAAGTTATTGAAAGATAAGGATTACTACAAAAATTGTTACCATGGTGAATTTCACTGAAATAAATACCCAGAGTATCACATCTGGTTTTCCTGTATGGCCACATTGGAAAATCCAATTTCTGTAAACATAGCTATCATTCTTCCACAAAGCTTCCTATAAGAACAATTTACTGACTTTACTACAGCTTAAGATCTTACTGTAGACAATCTTGGACAGGATTGTCTTGCACAGTATTTTTACCCCATTATCCAAGACATCTACATCTTATAAAGTAATTTGCTTTGGTTGACTTCATCCCACTGGTGTGATATCGGGGAATTTTTGTAATTTCTGGGATGTCCTGATTTTCATAGCTCTCTGTGAAGGTCGAGTTGTATTATTTGTATAAGTATATGAAATTCTTTTAAGTATAGAAAACATTTGGCAAATTGGCGATGAGTTAGTTACTCGGAGGTTCATGCTAGCAATCATTTCTTTTTATGAGGGGACAGTGAATGCAGTAAGATCATCTTGATTTTAGTAATGGGACCTTAGCAGGCAACTAAAAGCTAATCAGAAGCTTCTCAGTGTCCAAGAGAACAAATGGAAAAAAATGGCATGAGGGTTATTTTTGTTTGTAAAGTTTATCCAGTGAGTCACTCATTTTGCAGGTTGACATTTAAAAAAACAAACAAACCACAGTACTTGAGTGTTTTCCATTCCGCTGAACGAGACTGCCTTAATAATTTCAGTCACTAAAATAAGTGATTGTGTGAAGTGTCAAGCATAGGAAACAAGATCGGGAAGAGCCTTTTACAGACCAGCCCTTCACAAGAGTCTTCTTTTTTTTTTATTGTGAAAATACCATACAGAGGGGTTACAATTACATGGACAAGATAATGAGTACATTTCTTATCAAGCCTTGTTGCTTCCTCCTTTGTTTTCCCTTCCCATCTCTTCCCATTACCCCCACCCTTCCCCTTGTCCCTTGACATTAGCTAATGTTTTTGATTCCATATTTAAGAAAGTAGGAATAAACAACCTCAACCCGTGTCCTCATTCTTATGCTTGGAACAATGCAAACACACAAGGTCAAAGGCATTTTATACTGCTATCTCCCCTTGAAAGTATGAGGTTATAAGAAGTAAACGTGTTCAGAGGCAATAGCACTGCAGGCAGGCTGCTGTCCCTTACGTATCGCCTTGTCCAACCTATTTATCATGAACTGCTTAGTGTGTCTTTGAAAAGTGACCACAGCAGCACATGGAATGACATGTGGAATGAGAGATCCCAGAGCAGCTGAAGCTGGAGATACAGCAGGGAGTGTTCGGACTAAGAGGATAAGAACCAGCTGACAGGCAGAATGAAGGAGAGCAGGTAAAGATGGGGTATTGACAGATGGAGAAACCAGTAGAAAGCTCATTTGCAAGTTATTGCTGGGCATGACACGCATTGCTAATATCACAGTGAGTGGCACTTTTAAGAGGACAGTCCTGTGTGCCCAAGTGACATTAGGACAGGGTAATTTCTCTTTGAAGGTTGATCTCTCCAGATTTAGTATCAGACTTCAGCGCCAAAAGGGTTGTTGGATTACAGCGCATGGACACTTTCATGGTCCTCGAACTTGTGAAACCATGTGACATTTAACATAGGATGATTAGTCTGTGAATTCTTTGCGAGTGAGGTGGATCATTTGATTGCTTTTACCACAACTTCCTGCATGTGGTCTGATGCAGACTGCCCACTTAAGAAATACACCAGACTAGAATTCCTCTTGGTTTCATACTGATGAACTTTTCAAAGGGTGCTGAATTATGATTCTTTGTAAATAGAACAATGGTTTTCTCAGCTGCTGATCTAGGAAAAGCAATTTTGATATCAGAGTTTTGCTGATTAATAAAATAAAGCAATATAGGAGGACAACAGAAAAGTAATAGGACAAATAGGAAAAAAGCATGTTTATCCTCTTTTTAAAATTTTTAAAAGGAAAATGTATGTATTGCAAACATTCTTCTATTCCGGCATTGTGTTAAGAGAAACTTATGACATGTTTATTTATCCCCAGAGAATATTTAGAACTTGCATCCATGTATATCTTGAAGAATCACCTGATGGTTTCCTCCAAAACTTAAGTGAAATGTGGTCATCTGTGTACATTCCCTCATTAGATGACAGATGCAGTTAACAAGCAGTGATTTCTCACTGCTCTTATCATTATTAACAGGGTGTAATGTTAGCCATCCGTTTCCAAACAAGGAAAGACAATGACCCTCTATCCTCCCCTTCCTCCTATGCTCTTTTGAATGCAGACAGTACCACAGGGACATCGGCGATATCAAAGACGACAAGTGTGGAAATCCGCAAAAGCAGTGTTATGACAACTGAGATCACCTCTAAAGCAGAAAAGAGCCCCACGACAGCTAGCGGCAATAGCTCATGTCCTTCCACAGAGACGGAGGAGGAAAAGGCAAAACGACTGCTTTACTGCTCCTTATGCAAGGTCGCCGTCAACTCGGCCTCACAGCTGGAGGCGCACAACAGTGGTGAGATGCACATGCTTTCATTCTGTCTCCACAGCCCTGCAACCATCTTCCTCTGAATAGATTAGAACTTGTGCAGCAGGACACAAGGGCTGGGGGGACAGTGGCACAATTATTAGATGGCATTCATTAGCCATTAAAACATAAAAGTGACAAGCAAAGTGGCATTTATATGGGGGCAGGGGAGGGTTTCCAGAGCTTGTCGACTATGGTGTGTGCATGTGTACGTATGCACATGTGTGCATGTGTATGTGTTTTTGCAAACTAGGTGGAATAGCATATAATTCTAAGTTTTTTTTATATTAACCTGATTTCTGGATTGCTGTGCACATCTAGTATTTGCTTCTAAATGATATTTTCTAAAGTTATGTCATAAAACATGGCCTGTACTTTTCCATGTATGTTTGATTAAAACATCTATATTATGATTTCTATAGCAAATAATGCTATTGTAGCCAACACTATGTAAAATAAATACTTAAGAGAGAATTTAGTATTTCTTATGCGAGGCCACTGAGCTATGAACTCTACATGTAAGTTTTTGTGTGCTCTTCCCACACCTTAAAGACAGTGTGTTTTGTTATAGGACCAATCAAGCACAAAAACAATAAAACAAAACCCCAATGTCTCTTACTTGAACTCTAAACTTTAAAACAGAAAAGTAAATAGGAGAATATTGAGAAACAAACACAAAATGCTCTTCCTTTATAATTTGGTCCTATCTAGTTGTCTGTTGTTCTCTCTGACTCTGTCTCCATTTTTTTTTTCTTGGAGGTTTTTTAAAATTTTATTTTATTATCTTTAAGTAGTTGGACAAAGAAGTTCCCATTCTACAAAACAGTACATGAGTACAAAGTGTCTGACAACATTGTCACCCACCTCTCTTAACCCATCCCTTCTCTTACTTCTTTTTCTTCAATTGAGATTAGGTGATTACATAAATTTCACATATTTCACAGTATTGTGGAATAGTGATACTCAGAGTCACAAACACATTTAAATTTTTACAAAGCATATTGTCATTATCATGGTCTATACAGTTTGTGAATTCTATGAGCTTTGACATTACAAGTTATTTTTTCCACATCAGGTGATGTTTACACTTTCCTTTTGCTTAGCGTGGACTGTTCCCACTTCTGTCTCCATTTCTGTTTGCCCCTGCTTCTCTCTCTCTCTCTCTCTCTCTCTCTCTCTCTCTCTCTCTCTGTGTACTTCTCTTGGTTTCTCTTTCTGCATGTGTGTGGGAAGTGTGGGTGTGATTATGTGTACATACAAACATCAGCTTTTCTCTAAAACGTGAGTTGATTTCCAAGATCGCCTTTTCATTTAAAAGACTGTTCTTTGCCAGGGTTATGTCAGCAGCTGTACCAGAAGTAGATTCATCTGTGAATCATGTCTGAAGTTAATACTGCAGCTGCATGTTGAGTCACTGACCGATTGTGCCTCATTCGTAATATCTGGGCATTGACTTTAAAACTCTGAGGGGTGACTGCAGATGGAGAACAATTCCTTTAGCATGTGTCTTCCTCCTACCAGCATTATCTGAAGTCAGGCACAGTTCAGGAGTTCAGTTGCTGGGAAACCTAGAAACCTATCTGCCTTTCTATCAGAATCTGTACCATCCACATTTGCCATACATATACAAGTATAATGCAAATACAAGTATAATCATCATGAAGTCCACGTACTTCTTAAAAATTCTTTGACAGAAAAACACATTTATTTGGAGGCAAGTATCAATTTGGCAGGTCAAATCTGTCCTTCACAGTTAGAGTTTAAGAATTTTGGAGTCCTAGAATTCTTAGCAGAAACATTGATAAAGCAATGTGTTTTTCTGGCTGGCTTCACACTCACTATGTAATAAAGGCTGGCCTCAAACTCACAATCTTCCTTCCTCCATTCTCATTGTTGGGATTACAAGTACATACCACTATACCTGGCTCTTGTTTACAAGTTTCTTGTTGGAAGTCCTGGGACTTGAACTTAGGGCCTGGGTGCTATCCCAGGGCTTTTATGCTCAAGGCTAGCTCTCTACCACTTGAACCACAGCCTCATTTCTGTCTTATTTGGTAGTTAATTCGAGATAAGGGTCTCACAGACTTTCCTGCCTGGGAAGGCTTTGAACCCTGAGCCTCAGATCTCAGCCTCCTGAGTAGCTAGATTATAGGTGTGAGCCACCAGTGCCCTGCTTACTTTTACATTTTTAAAATAAGCAGCACTGGGGTTCAAGTCATGAATCAAGCCTTCAGTGAGGTCAGCCTTTGAACTGCTATGGATTTACTAACAAGTTGTATCTGTGGAGCTGTTGTGATGTCAGTTGTAAGCTATATAATAAATTAACACATTGTGCTAATTTCTCATATAGAAAATTACCATAGTAACCATGTTCACTATTCAATAGAGACTGATGTGTTTTTTCTTTTCTTTTCTTTTGTTGCTCATGTGTCTTGCAGTTTGGGCCTGGGTGCTATCCTTGAGCTTTTACACTCAAGGCTACCATTATACCATTTGGAGTGCCAATTCCAGTTTTCTGAGGGTTAATTGGAGACAAGAGTCTCACAAGCTTTCCTGTTTGGGATGGCTTTGAGTGATGATCCTCACATTTCAGCTAGGATTACAGGCATGGGTCACTAGCAACTACCTGACTAATGGTATTTTAAGGGAGAAGCTCTATATCATTGACATTATTTAGAGCTTTCAGCTCATTATGCTATGGAAAAGCATAATGCACAGCCCACTTCATTCTGTTACTTTACATGATGGATGCTGATTTTTTACAAATACAAGAACAATAATTATTTTGCCTCAACATATTCAAAACTAGACAGCTAAGCAAAAAGTAAATAAAATTACTTGAAACTTTATGATTTGCTGAGTTTGGATGAAATATGGTATTCCTTTCAGAAGTCATTCATACAAAACTTCAAATAGAATTACTATCAGGTCAGGCTTTCAAGAGTGTCAGGATGATACCTTTGCCTGAAATCTTGAAGATTTTCTCAAGACAGAGATGGCACGGGAGATGGTGCAGAAACATATTTTTGACTGCTCTGCTGAGCAGTTGCATAGGATGCAGAGGTAGGCCTGGACCTTGGAAGGCATTTATGCGATACAGAAACAAGAAGTGATACTGTGGACTAGTACAGGGCCACAGCCCTTTAGTATATCCTGGTTTATAGAATTCTGCTCAGAAGAAGAGGGTGCTGGAAGAAAATAGATTGGGAGGCGGGGTTTGAAAGACCCAAATTAAAAGCCAGTTTTACACAGGACTAGTAATATGTAAGGTAGAAAATCAAAGGATATATATTATGGAAGACTGGTATACAACCACAGCCAGTTGTGTTGGAAGCCCTTGGTGAAATTTTAGGGACTTAGCTAAGGATCAGTTTTCTAGATTTCAAGAATGTCATTGAAGGCTTGTTTTCTGTGCCCGTGAGGGTAACTTAGTCTTGCCTATCTCAGTGTCTTATTGGGCATTAAAATAGCACTTAATGCATATAGTTGCTGCGAGCCAACAGCACAGTTAGCACAGCCTCGAAGGTGTATCAAGGTATTGCAATAAAAACGAGTTTCAATCTTCATCATGTATATATTCTCCATGTACATTTATCCCCAACGTTTTCAGTTAAAACAAGATTTTTTAAATTGAATTTGAGCTTTATTTGGGATAAATAAAAGTAGTTACCTTTAGAGCTTCTTAAAACATTAAAAATATAAACTGTCTAATAGCTATTTAATTATGATGAATACTCTGCCACTAAGTGCATGAGGTTATACTGTACAAAGTTCAGCTGGACTGATGATTAATAATAACCATAGAAGCAAAGCCACTTGTTGAAGTTCCCCTACTAACCTTGAGATGTGTGTGTGTGTGTGTGTGTGTGTGTGTGCGTGCATGTAAGCTATGTACCAAGCCCTGGCTCCAAATCACAAATGATTTAAACCAAAAGTGAACCAGGAGTCCCTTCTGAAAGTCAGGATGAGATGCTCTTGGTTTCTCAGGTGCACTGGAAATCTAAATTTGCCCCTGAAGTGCATTTCATTTTGACTACAGGAGGGGAATTTTTTAAATAAAATTATCTGTTGCAAGAAAGAGGTGCAGAACACCTTCTACGTATCTGTATCTGGCATCCTAGAACATGTGTGCCATCTGCAAAGTAGAAAATTCCTGTGTTTACTCTATTGCACGGAGGCCGGGCAAAGAAGAGTAGGGCACCAACAGCACTACCTTGAATTGCTTCGTCCTTCAGTACAGGGCTGCAGTTCCTCCAATGCTAACACCACGCTGACTTCTTTAGGTTGACATATGAGTATTATAATAGTTATGCATTAAGAACATTGATATTCAAAGCAAACAACCTACGTTGTAAAGTGTGTATGTTTTATATTGATTGGTTAAAGTCATGATTATCTTGAATAAGATAAAATATGTAGCTATGAACTATCTTATTCGATAGGAGGGGATCTACACTGATCTAGAATGTTCCAAACATGTTTTACTCATTAATGGTCAGTAATGCTCTGAGGCAGATGTATGACTCAGAAGTTAAGAATCTCTTTTTATGTTTGCAGAACTGATCAAAAACCAAAAACCTAATAAATACAAGTAGGAAGTAGAAATTAATTTAAATGAATACCAGAAAGGCTACATGTGATAATAAAAGAAATTCCTAAATTAACACACATCCCCAAGAGGGATGAAGAAGGATCACGTAATAACTAGAAATTAAGCAAAATTTAAGCAATCCTTTTTTTTGGGGGGTCCGATCATGGGGCCTGAACTCTGGGCCTGGGCGCTGTCCCTCAGGGCCTGGGCACTGTCCCTCAGCACTTCACCTCAAGGCTAGCACTCTCCCACTTGAGCCACAGCGCCACTTCCGGCTTTTTTCTTTTTAATTATGTGGTGCTGAGGAATCGAACCCAGGGCTTCATGCATGCAAGGCAAGCGCTCTACCCCTGAGCCACCTTCCCAGCCCCAAGCAATGCTCTTGAGGGAAAATTGCCATCATGATGGAACTACTGTGATCTGAAAAAAAAAAATGTTGATGATTGCCAAGTGGAGTTACAGTACCTATGTGTGAGAGCCCAGAGAGGTTAATGCTTTAGTGAAGAGAAGCATTTATTTACAGGTTATCTTCCTACACTTTGAGCTTACCTTACATTTTCTTACTTACTTGCATTGTATTAGCCTAAAGTGACCTTTACAGAACCATCAAGTTTTTTTTTTAAATTATTAATCTTGCTCTTCCATTTTGAACCTAAAACACATAGTCAAGCGAGGTTGTTTAGATTCTGTTTAAAAAGTGGATATTTAATTAGTGCCACCTTTGTAAACACACCATGTTTAAATTGATTACATTTGTTACACATCACTTCCAACTCTGCCTTCAGCAACTAAATCACTCTTCCTCATCAGCCTTCATTTATGGCTTATTATAGCATCAAGAGGAAATGAAACTCAGTCACACCCATTTAATTTCCTCTCAGAGGGCTCTCAAGTTCAGTTGCTAGGATGATGGTGTTTGCTTGTGATGTGGAGCAGCATTTTACAAAAGTGAAAAGTTCAATAGGATTATACAAGGTGACAGGAACACGTTGTTACAGTCTATACATCATGGCCATGCTTCAGCCTTAGTCCCAAAGGTTCACATTTGGATATTATATGGTTCCTTAACTTATCTACTAGCTAACACTTACCCTGTCATTCTTTTTATTTCTCTTTCCCCGTCCCCAACTATTCTGGCAGGTACTAAGCACAAAACTATGCTAGAAGCCAGGAATGGAAGTGGGACTATCAAAGCCTTTCCTCGGGCAGGAGTAAAAGGCAAAGGACCTGTCAACAAAGGAAACTCGGGCTGCAAAACAAGACTTTCCACTGTGAAATCTGTGATGTGCATGTCAACTCAGAAACCCAACTGAAACAGGTAGGCAGGGCAGATGGTGGGAATGTAAACAAAGCAGCCCTGCCCCCTCCCCCCACAAGCAGGATACACGTGCAATCTTTCTTCCTTTCCCTTCTGTAATTCTGCTCCATCCTTCCATCCATCCCTCCATCCACCCATCTGCCTACTCACCCCCTTGTCTTCTTTTATTTTATTTTTATTGTGAAAATACTGTACAGAGGGGTTACAATTACATGGGCAAGATAATGAGTACATTTGTTATCTAGCATTGTAGCCTCCTCCTTTGTTTTTCCCCTTCCCATCCTTTCCCACCCTCCCCCCTCTACCCCCCCACCCATCCGCCCTGCTTCCCCGCCCCCACACCAAAGTTGTAAAGTTCCTTTTCCACATAAGGACTTGTACATTTCATTGTTGCAATGGGTCCACCTGGATCCTTATTTAAAGGATTTGTTTTTCCCCTTCCCCTCCACAAATTATACCA